AGAAAAATAAGGAAAGTCTCCCGTTTACTTAAATGGGAACAAGACGGGCCTTCACCCCTCGCCGTGAGCCTCTTGCAGAGGGGAGGATTTGCCCTCAGGCTCCTTCGCTGAGCAGAGTGGGAAGAGGCCGATCGCTCGGCCGCGCTCCTAAGTTGAACTACGTGTTTTTCCAAGCCCCGGAGCTGCTCTCCCTCAGACAAAACCCTCACCTTTTCCTTGTGTGCCGAAGCACTGCGAGTTCCCCTCAGCGTGTTTTTCTTGGCCGTCCGAGCCGCAGCGTTTTGATTCACTCGGCAGAGCAAGTTCAGGAGCTCGGCGGCGGCCGAGGGGCTCGTCGCGACTCCCCGACATTATTTGCCCTGCTCAAGGCGGGGCCTGTGCAAGGCAGGAGCCCGCTCGTCGCGGACTGCATTTTCTTTTCCTAAAGAAGGAGATCGCTTTTATTTCCGGCCCTGGAAAAAGGAGCCCTGGCTCTTTTGCACAAGCAGCCAGGGCCGCTTGCAAGCCTTTGCACTGTGGACTCCCCTCAAAAGCACCTTGGGACACGTCAGTCCGGCCCAAATTGCTGAGCAAACTGATCCCAAACGGGCTGCGGCGGCGGCGAGGAGAAGAGCGAAAAAAAGCTTTACCCGAGGGAGCCCTCCAGAAACGCGCCGCGCTTCTCCCGCCGAGCCGAGATCATGGGAGAAATGAAGGAAAATGCAGCGAGGCAGCATGGTGTCGATGAGGCACCCCTCCTCTTTCCCCCCAGCTCACTCCCCAGCACAGGTGGCCCTGCCAGGGCTTGGCAAAGGGATAACGTTTAGGCAGAGTTGTAGCAGTCTCCGGGCTTGAGCTCCAGCTCCCTGGCCCGAGAGGATAGCCCCGACCCCAGTAGAGTCCGAGCAAAGCGGTCGTGCCAACCTGCAGGGCTCGTGGAGGTGCTCGCCCTTCACTCACCTCCATTAGCACCCCAGAGTTACCTGGCAGGAGAGCAGACACTCCCGGCAGGAAAATGAGAAAAAAGAAAAATCTCTTCTGCTACGCAGTGAATATTCAGTGTCCTGCTACCTACAGAAATCACCTTAGGAATAATTCCGAGAGCTGTAAGTGTACCAATATTATGCACTTTGCAGGATTTTACTTAGAGGACAGATGTCACACATATATTTGTCCACGCACACACACACATTTGTATAAACAGGCACAGGCCGAATTTGCTCCCGGGGAAGTGCCATTGCCGGGGGAGGGCTGTGCGGTGGCTGTGAGGGGGGCGACGTCACCAGCCACCGGCGACGAGACTCCCTGTGGGCAGCCCCACATCTGCCCCTGCACGGCCCATGGGGGAGCGTGGATTCGCTTTGCCAGGACTCCCCAATATATGTCCTGGGCTCAGCCCGGGTGTCATTGAGCCATGCTGCCCTCGAGGGACTCGGCCGTGGGGTTTGTCCCTCCTCAGGGCTGGAGGAACCACGGGGAGTTTTCGGATCCGGATCGGAACCCTCCTGGTCCTCAAGACCCGAAACCTGCGCGGGGACCCTGCAAACAATCAGCCCCGTGGCCAGATCCGTAACCGGCGTAACCTAATGCTACCGAATCATAACTAATCTGCTTAAAACCAAGGATTAGTCACGTCACTTTCGGCATAGTCCTCTACCGGGAACGTTTTTTTCTGTGCGTGGAAAATCGGGGGGATTTGGGCTAATTTACCAAACATCATTACTAAGGCAAGTACAGCCTGATAAAATGAGTCTTAACATGTAGGGGTTTTCAGGTTGAATTATATACCTCTGCGTGCATCCTTAATGCGAGGTTGACCTCAATTTTCTTTCTTTCTTTCTTTCTTTCGTTCTTTCTTTCTTTCTTTCTTTCGTTCTTTCTTTCTTTCTTTCTTTCGTTCTTTCTTTCTTTCTTTCTTTCGTTCTTTCTTTCTTTCTTTCTTTCGTTCTTTCTTTCTTTCTTTCTTTCGTTCTTTCTTTCTTTCTTTCTTTCGTTCTTTCTTTCTTTCTTTCTTTCGTTCTTTCTTTCTTTCTTTCTTTCGTTCTTTCTTTCTTTCTTTCTTTCGTTCTTTCTTTCTTTCTTTCTTTCGTTCTTTCTTTCTTTCTTTCTTTCGTTCTTTCTTTCTTTCTTTCTTTCGTTCTTTCTTTCTTTCTTTCTTTCGTTCTTTCTTTCTTTCTTTCTTTCGTTCTTTCTTTCTTTCTTTCTTTCGTTCTTTCTTTCTTTCTTTCTTTCGTTCTTTCTTTCTTTCTTTCTTTCGTTCTTTCTTTCTTTCTTTCTTTCGTTCTTTCTTTCTTTCTTTCTTTCGTTCTTTCTTTCTTTCTTTCTTTCGTTCTTTCTTTCTTTCTTTCTTTCTTCCTTTCTTCCTTTCTTCCTTCCTTCCTTCCTTCCTTCCTCCCTTCCTTCTCTTTCTTCTTTCTCCTATTTCTCTTCTTTCTTTCGCTTTTTTCTCTTCTCTTCTTCCTTTTCTCTTCTTCCTTTTATCTTCTTTTCTCTTTTCTATCACTGAATGATTTCTGTTTCTAGCTCCCTTCAATGCACATTAGTCGCTCGCTTTGTCTCCCTTTCCCCATATATAAGCGACACTCTGCAAATTACAGGAATTTTCATCGTCCCTCGATTTCCAAGGGCCTTTCGCACTCTGAGAGCCTTTTGCTTTCTCTCATCAACTTTTGCCTCCTCTATGCAATATGACCTTTTATCAACCACGTAAAACCCACCCCGATCTCATACTGCCTCTCTAATATTTCTTTATTTTTTCCCTCCAGGGGGCAAAGTCCGAAGGGTTTATTTCAGATGGAAGTCCGTACTTTATTAAACCAGTCTTTCCATTTTCTTTCGCTGATGCCAAACCTATTTCTACCACTAAAAATAATACATAATTTACCAGTCCGTTAATTCAGTGTTTGCAGTATTGACCCGCTGCGTGTGTCATTTTACAGGGAGCGCGACTCTTCTGCAGTCCTAGGGAGCAGTGGCTCCTAACCTTGCGAAATGTTTATTTCCAAAGGATTCAAATCTATTGCTAAAATTACCAGATGCCCATCAACGGAAACGCCAGGATCTGCTGTCCAGACTCCTGCACGCATACACACGCATAGGCACCCGCAGGAGTATCACCAGAAACACCATCCTGGCTCTTGAGAAGTTACCCCAAAGAGCGGAGCCGGGAGAAACGTTCGGCCGAATAGCTGTGTTCCCAAGCAGGGGGTGCTCTGCGATTTGGGGACATTTTTACTTAGCGCACCCCGCCAGAGATCGCTGCTCCTATAACCACGGGCAAGGGCCACTTTTTTGGTGGCCGGTGTTTGCCCCCTGCGCACCTCAGTGGGGCCGTCTGAGAAACGCGCATTCAGCCCATCCCGAGGCTCTAATCCAGCTCCAGATTATATCAAATTAGGACCCTGCCCACACAAAACTCCCGCTGATTGAAATCGCAGCCAGCATCCCGAACCTGGACACGATCCTTGCTGATCTAGACATATTTCTTCCCCACTTGAAGCCATATCGTTTTCCGGATTATTTTTAAGGAAAAAAAAATAAAAATAAAAAAAAGAGGGAGGAAAAAAAAGATAAAAATAAAAAGAAGAAAAGAATCCCTCTCCACGCACACGGAACACGTTGCCCTCTCCGAGGAACATTTTGCGCGTTCCACCTGTCCACCTATTGCCCTTGGGTCTAGCAAGGAGTCGGTTGCTCGGGCTCCCCTGGGCGAAAGGCGGCGCGGCCGGGGGGAAGCCAGAGGCACTTGCCTTTTATTTCTACAGATTTCTGCAGAGAAAGCAGCTTTAGTTCTAGCCTTTTTAAGAGAAGCAAGTTTGAGGGCAGCGTGCCTGTCTCTACCATCACCCTGCGCTTACACCGCTTCAATCCCACCCTAAAAAAAAAAAAAAAAAAAAAAAAAAAAAAAAAAAAAAAAAAAAGGGGCTCCCGGGAAGGCGGCGGCCCGATGCGACGGTGAGGGGCGGCTCCCACGCGCGTCCGCGGCAGCGCGAGGGGATCCTCCGGCGAGGCCGCTCCCGGGGCTGCCGCCGGCGCCGCGAGCCCCGAGGCGTCTCGGAGGCGACTGAAGCAACCGCACGCCGGGTTAGATTTCTAAATTTTATTATAAAATAAAAGCAGAAATATTTTCCAAAGAATGTATTCACATAATATAAACAATGAACAAAACTAAGGTCGAGTGATTTGCGGTTGATACTGTCGTTTAGGTCTAAAGTTGAGCAGCAATTCCCTATTATTATTATTAATAATTATTATTTAAGCCCACTCCTGCCCACGTTACACGCCGGCGGGAGCCTCTGCCATTGCCTTTGACTCGGGCGAGAGCCGGGCCATCATTTCCTTTCCCATCCAGCAAAAGGCAAAAGCACCACAGGGACAAGGCCAAAAGAAGCCGCCTTTCTGCACAGCATCAGCTAAAGGAGGTTACAGAGTCTGCCTAGAGCGCGTCTTGCTGCTATAACTTGACTACAACGCTTGTATTTTAGTTGAGTGGGTACCTCGCACACCTGCCACGGCTACGCAGCGACACGGGGTATCGCGAGCGACGCGAAACTGCCCCGCGGGGGTGGGAACAGCGGCATCGCGCTCCCCATTTCTCCCCACCCGGAGGAAAAAAAAATATGTATTTATATATATATAATGTGTCTCTTCACACGCAGACCGCGCTGATTAAAATACCGAAAAAGGCGTGAAGTTGGGGCTGGGAAGAGGTGCTCCTGAGAGCCTGGCGTTGAAATCTAAACCAGCTCCTAATGCAACAGTCCGGAGGCGCCCGAAAGCAGCTTAAAGACCCCGGGACGGCGCTGGGAGGGCCGGGGAGCGGGGGTTGTTCCTCACAGCATCACTGCGCACCTTCGAGTCCGGGACCTTGCAATCCCCCCAGGCAGCCTGTCTGCCCCAGGGCACAGCGCAGCCCCCGCCATCGCTTGCAAAGTCTCTGGCAACATTGCTGGTGGGGGAAATAAGAGACAAAAAGAAAGAAAAAAAAAGACAGAAAGAGCAGGCGGAGGAGGGCCGGTGCCCGGGAGGGAGTGTGCGCGCGTTTTTAAGAGCCCAGATCGACTAGGTTGGATGACATGGGGTTGAGGATGGAGTCCTGCAAGCTGTGGTGGTGCATGGGGTCGGCGCTGGGCACGGGGATGGCGCTGGGGCCCGGTGGGTGGCCCAGGCCGTGCAGGGGCTGCAGGCCCGGGGTGGTGCCGAGCAGCAGCGCGGGGCTGGATGAGGGGTGATCCGGGGTCCCTGACGGCGTCTTCTCGTCCTCCGAGCTCCCCAAAACTGTCTTATTCCCGTTCATAGACGCCGAGAGCGGGTTGTGGCTGTTGGAGTTGGAATTCTCGTTGTTTTCCCTAGAGGAAATACAAAAGAGGGAGGGAGATCACCGTGGGGCCGCCGCTGTGCCCCGCGGCGCGCAGCGCTGCGCGGGGGCCGGGGCTCGCTCCGGGCGAGAAGAGCAGCGTGAAAACAGGACGTTTACAAACTCTGCAAACCTCCAAGGCCTCCTCATCTGGCACTGAGGTCTAAGGTCCGCCGAGCTTGTAAACAGAGGCTCCCACTAGCCCAGCGGAAAGTGTCACTTTGCCAAAACGTCATTTTCTGCCTCTGTCTATTACAAAGCGTTTGCAGAGCGTGGGGAGGGGAGGAGGGAGAGAGGGGGAGGAATACAAAAAAAGAGTCCTTTTTAACTTGAAAAGTGCTCCCGAGGCTGAGTCCGCGTTTTCTCCCGGGCAGGCCGAGGCAGAGCGGGTTGCGCGCAGGGCCGCCCTGCGCGGCCGCGCACCCCCGGGCGCTCGCCCTGCGGGACGGGCACTTCCCGCTTTCACTTAAGACACGGGAGCTTTTTTTTTTTTCTTTTTTCTCCTTTCTTTCTTTCTTTCTTCCCTTTGCTCGTAGCTTAAAACTCAAAACATAGCCCAATATGGAAAAGGAGGCGAGCAAAGGGAGTTAACTCGCGTATTTCCTGAGCCCGCCGGGGAAATGCCAGGCCCGGCGGCTCTGTCCCTTCCTGGTGCGGGGGGTGGCTCGCGGGGAGCCACGGCTCGCAAAGCGGGGCGATATTTCAGAAACCAGCACCGAACAGATACGGAGAAATCACTGGAACCGTGCCAAGACCTTTCAGTTATTATTTGAAAATGTGGGGGGCCAAAATGGGGTGCGGGACGACCCCTCCCGTCGAGAATAACTCTGTCTTTAGAGAGCCCTCAGAGGCTCAGCTCTGCCCGGCACACCGAGGGGACCTCGGGTCCCTGTAAGGACAGCGCCCGGCACGGGGCCCGGTGCGGCGGGACGCGCTCGGCGAAGGGAGGCCTTTGCGCTGACATTTTTTTTTTCCTCAATAAGGGTTGTGGGATGTGGCTGGAGGCGCTTAGTGCGAAAAAAATAAAAATAGAAAAGAAAGCTCTGTTTGAACAAGTCGCTCGAGTGAATGGCAATCCTTGGAATAGTCTGTTTTCAAGCGCCCGGAGTATAATATTAGTTTGAGTGTATTTTTTTTTCAATGTCAAAAAAACTTATTTGTCTCTGGAGACTTTTAAAATGCGATTCCTCGGGGAGGCGGGGGAAAGAATGGAATAAGTGTAACCTTCATTTCCTTTGGATATTTGAAGGTGAGTCCCTGCTATCAGCAATAAAAAAGGGATCTCTAACATGTCGTAAAACCAACACTTAGAGGGATTTGAAAGAAAATGAAAGCGCTAGCACAGTTTCGGGAAACGCGTGGAGCAAATCCGAGCAGGAGCCGAGCCCGTCGAGCTGCGCGCAAAGCGCGGCCGCGGCGCTCCCGTCCCCAGACACTTTCGGTGCAGAGGGAAAAAGAGCCTCCCACAAGGCACGAATCCACGGGAGGTTTCCGATATCTTAATTAACCCGACTACGCGAGTCTGTAGGCATTAAAGTCTGCCCGGCAATTAACGCGGAAAAAAACAAACCGCGCTTGGTCTAAGAATATACTTATTTTGATGCACATTCACGAGCACCTCTCTGGGAAATACCGGCTGCTTTTTAACGAGCAAGGCAAAAGGTTTTTTCCGGTTCGATCCTCGCCGAGTTCTCCCGCCTCACGCCGACGTTAAAAGCAGTTTCACCCGGCACCATTTAGGGCGTGCAGCCCAATTTGTCCCCGCTTAGTCCTCTGCCTTTCTCCTCCTTCAAGGGAGAGCCCCGACGTGTGCGGCCCGCGCCACCCCGGCCCCTGCCCGAGCGCCAGAGCAGAATCTCGGGCCGGGATTTAGGGGCCCGCTGGCGGCCCAGGCGGCTTATGCGGCCTTCAGGGCCGCATCGCGCTTGGTCCCGATGGGCTGCCCGACCGATCTCTTGGGAAAGGGGAGCCGGCTTAGGCCGGGCCGTCTTTCCGGGGAATTTCTTCCCTGCCGCTTCCCCTCGTCTCTCGCAGCGGCTCCTCTCCCTTTCCCTCCCTGCCCTCAGCTCTGCTGC